CCCGCCTGGGTGAGGCGGGAGGGAGTGTCAGACTCTTACTGACTAAAAACCACCCCGTTCCTTCTCCTGCACGTCGAGCCGGAGCCCCGGTTACCCGTTAGGTTCTCCGCGACTCCGAATCGGCATCGGCCCTATTGGGCCCCATCTGTCGTGGTCTGATGGCTCTTTGAGGCGCGCGCGGAACGCGACGCGCCGTACGCTCGGGATTGCCACATGTGGAATTGCCACAATTCCACATTCCGTGCTACTAGTAAGAATTTTATTAAAAAAACCCAATAATACTTTGCCCGACCCGGGAATCGAACCCGAGACCCTTTGCCCAGCAGTTGCACTTGCGACTACTCGGCCAATGAGGCAGTCAAGTTCTACAATAATGTTGTTATTTAATAAAAATAACATTTGATTCTACGTTGTTTTTCCCGCTGGGGAGTAGTGAACAAAAATGTAATTGGATGCATGTATCTTTTTGATACTTGTCTAATGATACTTGACTGACAAGTCACAATTTGTAACGCAATATAAAAATATTTTTTTCAAAATTAAATTATTAAATTCTATACTAACATTATTCTTTTTTAATTGTGTCATTTTTTCAATATGACATTTTTCAATTATGACATTTTGTTAAATTGCGACATATTTATTTTTTATTGTAAGCCATAAAGTACAATTTCAAAATATATTTGTATGTCTTAGCATAGACAAAACATAGCGCACTGTTGTTTACCTTTAAGATCTGAATTTTTTGTTAGGTACCCATATTTTACAAATATTAATAAATGATTGATTGATTGATTGAAAAATCTGGGAACTTGCAAATTAAAACGTCAGTATCAAAGCTTAAATAGCCAATCTTTCTCGCTTTGAATCCTCCCAGCATAAACTCATACATCAACCTCCTCGTGTATATATATATATTATAATGATATATATATATATAGCATTATATATCCTTACTAATATTATAAATTGGAAAGTGAGTTTGTTTGTTTGTTCCGCTTTCACGCCGTAACTACTAATTCGATTGCTTTGATTTTTTGCAGACGTAAAGTTAGAAGTCCGGATTAAATAAAAGGGTACTTTTTATCCTGGAAAAAAATGATATTCCCGCGGGAAAACAAAAGTATTGGTATAGATGGCGCTGTATGTAATGGTATATGTCACATAGGCTACTTTTTATCCTTTTGTGACGCGAGCGAAGCCGCGGGTAAAAACTAGTATCATATAAATAAATTGTACCTTTACTCAGTGTAACAAAGGAGTTGTGTACGACCATAACACACTGTCAATGCAGTTCGCTGCACAAAGGCTGACTACAAAGGGAGTTGACTTCCGTTAATTTATTTGACCAATAAACTCAGCCACTTGGCGTTATTATTGATGTTACTGAGTGCTGTAAAGGGCATGTGGGAGAATAATTGTATTATGTTACGTGAGTTAGGCTAGTTAGGTGGAACATTTTATAAGTGTTTTGAGTTTTTAAAATAATCAAGTTTGACATAACGTAACATAACACCACGCCTTTTATCCGCGAAGGGGTAGGCAGAGATACATATAACGGCGCTTAATGCCACTGTGCAATGTAATACTCACTTTTCACTGTGTATGTTATGAGTCCCATGTAATAGGGGGTGACCCTATTGCCATATACCGGGCACATTTCCAGACTCCGTGCTATTACTGAGATTTAAAAAAAAAACAGTAATATTATGCCCGACCCGGGAACCCAACCCGAGACCCCTCGCCCAGCAGTCACAATCGCGACCACTCGGCCAACGAGGCAGTCAATTTCAAACTGATAATCAAATTATAAATAGTAAAGTCCAGGTTTCCTCACGATGTTATCCTTCACCGTATGTGTAAATAATCTTAGAAAGTACATATAACTCGGAAAAAGCCACATTGGTACTTACTGTTGGTAGGTTTCAAACCCACACCGCAATCGCACTTGCAACTTATCAAAATAAATAAGTCAATATCGAAAACCAAACACACCATTATTATTATGTATTTTAACTCCAGAAAGGGGTATATAGTGTTCTCTATCACTCGTAGCACCCATT